TGATGAAGCCACTGTGTCAATCCATCTCCTTGAGGGCCTTCCTCTTTTTTGCTGCCCTTCCACTTTACCAAACATGCTGTTCTTCTCTGGGGACTGGGCTCTCCTGAAAGCATGTCCAAAGTATGCAAGATGAAGTCTTGTCATCCTTGTCTGTAAGGAGCAACTCTGGCCTACTTCTTCCAATACAGATCAGTTTGTCCCTTTAGCAGGTCATAGTATTTTCAATATTCTTCCCCAACACCACAATTCAAATGCATCAATTCTTCTGTCTTCCTCATTCAATTTCCAACATGCACATGATGCACTGGAGAATACAATGGCTTGGGTCAGGCACACTTTTGTCCTCAAAGTAAAATTCTTGCTCCTCAAGACTCTAAAAAAGGTCTATGCAGCAGATTTAGTTAACGTAATACACCTTTAGATCTCTTGACTGCTGCTTCCAGGAGCATTGATTGTGGATCCAAGCAAGACAAAATCCTTAACAACTTTAATCTTTTCTCCATTTATCATGATGGTCTAGTTGTGAGGATTTTGGTCTTCCTTACATTGAGTCAGAATCAATACTGAAGAATGTAAACCTTGCTCTTCATCAGCAAGTACTTCAAGTCCTCTTCACTTTCAGCAAGCAAGGTTGTGTCAGTGCATATGGCATATTGTTAATAAGCTTTCCTGATGCCACATTCTTCTTCATATAGTCCAGCTTCTCTGATGATTTGCTCAGCATATAGACTGAACAAGTATGGTGAGAGGATACAACCCTGACACACACCTTTCCTGATTTTAAACCATGCTCTTCCCTTGTGATAAATTATTAATTTTAAAAAAAACCTTTTACTGGGGGCTCTTACATTTCTTATCACAATCCATACATTCCTCCAATGTGTCAAGCACATTTGCCATCATTATAATTTTCAAAGCATTCTCTTCCCACTTGAGCCCGATATCAGCTCCCATTTGTTCCCTCTTCCTCCCCCGCCTGCCTTCCCTCAAAAACCCTTGATAAAATATAGATTATTTGTTCAGTATCTTACATCATCCTCCGTTGCCCTTCACCCTCTTTTCCATTATTTGTCCCCTTGGGATGGAGTTCTAGGTTGATCCTTGTGATGATTCTCCCTTTCTCCGCCCACCATCCCCTAATCCTCCTGGTCTCTCTACTCTCCTTGTTGGCCCTGAGGGGTTTATCTATACTGGATTCCCTGTGTTGTGGGCTCTTATCTGTAGCAGTGTGCATGCTCTGGTCTAATCCGATTTGTAAGGTAGAATTAAGGTCATGATAGTGGGGGGAATGGAAGCACCAAAGAGCTAGGGGAAAGTTGTGTGTTTCATCAGTGCTATACCACTGCATCCTGACTGGCTCATCTCTTCCCTGTGACCCCTCTGTGAGGGGAAATTATTAATTTTTTAAATGACAAAAATATCTAGACGCTTTCCTATTTGGTTCTAAAGATTCTACAGTTTTACCCCATGATAAGACTGAAAAGGTTATGTTGATGGACAATTAACTTTGTAAAGGGCAGTAGTTCCATGATGAGAAATGGTATAATAATGAAACAAATGGGAGGAGTTAGTATGATAGGGAAAGGAAAAGAAAATAACCCTCTTGCTCTCCTATGATAGAATAAGCAACCATTTAAGATCAGAGGTGCAGCATTTACTTAAAGACAAAGTTCAGAGGGTTAGGAGAGCCAGAGTAATGGACAAGGGAAACACTGGGAGAAAGTGGAAAAGGGACGGTACCTTGAGGGGACTGCAGTGGATGAGCTGAAACAAAGTGTGTATGAGTTGTGGACTGTAAAACTGATGATTTGCTTTGTAAACCTTCATGCAGTTCACAAAAAGTTTAAGACAAAAGACAAAAAGGAAACAATCTCCCGTTAAAGCAAAGCAAAGTTAGCACTTTAAGTACCTGAATAATGAATAGTTTCCCCGTTGGGCTAGTGTTTGGCTGTTTGGCTGCTAACTGTAAGATCTGCAGTTTGAAACCATCAGCTGCTCCTTGGGAGATTTTTTTTTTCCCCCTACTCCTGTAAAGAGTTACAGTCTCGGAAACTCACAGGGCAGTTCTACCCTGTCCTTTAGGGTCACTATGAGTTGGCATCAACTCAATGGCAGTAAGGTTTTTCTTTTTGGGGGGTGGGGTTGTTAACTATGGAGCTAATGAGTCATGAAAAGGCTAAACTCAAGAGAAAAGTGGACTCAGTGCCTTGAAGGTCAACCAAGTAGGAACATTCTATAAGCATTTATTTTATATTTCTACCTTATAACTGCTCAGCTCCTTACTACATATAAGCCATCATCCAGCTTTCAATTTCTCTTCCAAGTCCCATCACTGCTAGATCCACCAGTTTCCTCCGAGGTGATACAGATGGCAGAAAGTATCGGACTACTTCCAACAGACCATGCCACTGTCTAGAAAATGCCTTCACACTGCTTCTGCCATGCTGTCCATGTCTCCTATTCACTTTGAAACTTCTTTCGGTCTCTGTGTAATCAACGACTCCCTTTCTAAAGCATAAGGCTGAGTTAGATACTTCCTCATTCTCAGATTTTCAGCATCTTTTACTCATCTCTACCCTATATTAAATCTACCTCCCTAATTTGTTATAAGATTCTAGAGGCCAGGGACCATGCTCAATTAATCTTAAAGTTCCATAGGGCTATGCTCAATTAATTATCAAATCCCTCAACACTATGACACCTGACTTGGAATCTAAATGTTATTTATAAATTTACATTATATTTTAATTAATAATGAAATGATACAACTAAAAAGAAGATCATTAAACCCATCCTCATTTTAGATAAGAAAACCAAAGTTCCTAATGGTCAAGTGACATCTAGCCTCCTAAACTGTGAGAAAGCAAATTTGTTTGTTAAAGCAACCAATGTGTGGTGTTTCTGTTACTGTAGCATTAGATAACTAATTAGATAACCTTACAGACTCACTTGAAATATTTAGAGATATATCATAATAAATCTTTGGATGTCCATATAATAATGCGATAAAAAGATTAGTAGATTTGGGGAGGGGCTCAGGAACCTCTAAGAGACAGGTTGACACAGTGGCTATAATAATAGGTTCAAGCATCACGATTGTGGTGATGGGGAAGGATGAAGCAGTATTTCATTGCGTTGTACCTATGAGGAGGAATGACTCCACAGTACCGAACAACTTTCACTCACTCACTGCCATTGAGTCAATTCTGACTGTAGGGCAGGATAGAACAATCCCTGGGGGTCTCTGAGAATGCAACTCTTGATGGGAGTAGAAAGCCTCATTTTTCTCCCAGAGAGCGGCTGGTGGTTTCAAACTGCTAATCTTGTGGTTAGCAGGACAGCATGTCACCACTATGCCATCAGGGCTCCTAACAACAGATAGGAAGAACCTTTTTTCTCAAAAGACACCACAGATAATGCTGATATGCAACTGGGGTGAGCAGCACTTCTAGGAGTGATTTTGTCACTATTGTTGCTATTTAAAATCGCAAATGTTTTATTAATAATCATAAATGTGCTGCTTTATATGTACATGTAAATTGCTCATTAGACGGTAAGCTCCTCAAGTATTTGTTTGCCAGAGATTACTTAGTTGAACTGGGTATTTAATAGTCTCGTATAATTTTGAATGAGAGTGAAATGCCTGATGGGGGGTGGGGTGTGGAAGGCAAGCTTGGTGAGAAGGATCAAATAAAGATGTTCTGTGGGGTACAGTTGAACAACGTGGTGGTTACCGGTAAGAGGAACTGCTGCTCACTTGGATTTGATTAGGGTCACATGGCATTGAAGGGGATTCCCCTTCACAGCGAGAGTAACAGAGGAAATAAACCCTGAGTATAGTGGTCCTGCACCTGTGTTGGACCAACCTGTGTTGGTCAAGGGGCCACTGTATTTCAATAAAAACAGGGCATTCCCAGTGCTCTGTGGTATTAGCTGTGTTGTTGGAGGCAGGATATTATAGTGAAAACATACTTGGAATTTTATGTCACAGATATAGGGGCAGATCCTAGCTACATCATCTGGTAACTACATGTTTAATCTGGAGAATTGTTTTACACTCTACTTTTGAGATACTGAATGTCTCTCACTACATTGTAACCAGTAAAAGAGAAAACCAATACAAAGGACAGACACCTAACAGGCATCCAGTAAATATTGCCTTTTCTTTATCCCCAGAAAGAATAGCTCTGACTATTCTCAGAAGACATTTTAGGAGAGAAGAAAACAGCTTACCCAAAACTTGGTCATTTCCTTCTCTCAAGGAAAGACACAGTTCTGGAAAGGTACAGGTAAAGAGGGAGAAAAAAGCTTTGAAAAATGCAGTCTACAGTGCAAGGCACACTAGATGGTTTAGTAAGATTATAGAACTGCTCAGGTCCCTTGTCATGTCTGCCCACTGGGCACCTCTCACTTCTTTGGAATCAAACAGACCGCGTCTTTTATGCAAACTCTTGAGGGCTTGTAAATTCTGATGCCCCCAGTCTGTCCATGTCCTCAGACTTTCTGGTTTCCACCATAAAATTCTGGAAACAGTAAAAATATCCAGCATGGGAATTGAATTCAATTGCCCGAGGCGCCCTCCCTGGCCTCATTATCAGCAGCCTGATTCGTTTCTGCCTTTAGGAGCTCAGATGTCACCTCATTTTAATGAGGACAGCGCGGTGGGGCATACACTTCCGTCCCTCCTTGGAGCTCCTCTCAGTTGGCGCATATCCAGCCAACCGCCCTTGGAATCAGGCCAGCCCCTAGCCCAGAAAGGCTGGTCTGGCCAAGGCCTCCGGCTGACCGCCGGAGCAGCGGCGTTGCCAATGTGTATCCATGGCCCGGCCCAGAAGAACCAACGAGTTCGGAAATTCTGAGTGGCGGTAGCGCCGCACCGACACCCGTGCGGTTCCGGAGATGGACTACCGCCTAGTGGCACCCTGGCAACCTCCCTACGGAGGTCCCATCTGACTTCTCTGTACGAGGCCCACTCTCACTTCCGTACTGGAGAGCACTACCTGTCATTCGCGCCTTTGTCCACACTCGTCTCACCTCCCATTCGAACCCGTCAGTGGGCAGCGGCAGATGCAGGACAAGGACAAGAGCCCTCCTGGAGGTCTCCGAACTACAAGTCCCAGAAAGCCGCGATCAGGCCACCCTACATCCGGGTCCTCCTTTGGTTTCTGTTCCAGGGTTTCCGCTGGACCTGGACGCGACCGAGCCTGGAGGTCTCCGAACTACAAGTCCCAGAAAGCCGCGATGCAGCCACTCTACATCCGGGTTCTCCTTTGGTTTCTGTTCCAGGGCTTCCTCTGGACCTGGGCGTGACCGCGCCTGGAGGTCTCCGAACTACAAGTCCCAGAAAGCCGCGATTCGGCCACCCTACATTCGGGCCCTCCTTCGGTTTACAGTTCCAGGGCTTCTTCCATTCGCAACTTTGCCAAGTTTGCAGTTAGCGGATGGTTCATCGGGTTTTTCTTGTTTTTGTGGGTTAAAAAAAACCCAACCAAACAAAAACCCTGTTACATAAGCATTTTGAGAATACTCATTAAATGTTTTAAAATTTATTATAACTTAAGGGAAAAGAATTCGCAAATTTTAATTTACCTTTAAAAATATTTTGAAATTAATTCTTCTTGCTCAGCACCCCTCGTCTTACCTCAGAAGTTGGTTCATTTAACAAATATTAAGGGGTACACCGTGACAAAAGCTGTTCAAGACGCTAACACAGAAATCCCTGCCCTCGTATATGTTAAATTCTAGTTGGAAAGATAAAAAGAAAAAAAACTAAACAAAACAAAAGAAACTCTCTGCTATCGAAGGGATTCCGACTAGCAGCAACCCGAAAGGACAGAGTAGAACTGTCATGTTTCAGAGACTAACTCTAAGGATGTAGAAAATCTTATTTTTCTCCCAAGGAGCAGCTAGAGTTTTGGAACTGCTGCCTTGTACTTAGTCCAACGTGTAACCCACAACACCACCAGGGCTCCTAGTTGGAAGATATGCGATAAACAAATGTAATAAGTGATATAAACTCAAAAACCAAAACCAAACTCTACCATCCAGTCGAATCCTATAGGACAGGGTAGAATAGCTCCCACGGGTTTCAGAAGCTGTACATTTTTTTGTTTTTGAGGTTGGAAATTTTATTAACTGGATATTTGCAGTAAAGTGATCCTGAGAAGCTACTTTTCCCGGGAGTTCAATTTTTTCTTAAAAAAAAAAATTTTTTTATTGGGGGCCCTACAACACTTATCACAATCCATACATCCATCCATAAATGTGTCAAGCATATTTGTACATTTGTTGCCATTATCATTCTCAAAACATTTTCTTTTTACTTGAGTCCTTGGTATCGACTCCTAATTTTTTCCCCTCCCTCCCTTATGAACTCTTGATAATTTGTAAATCATTGTTTTTTCATGCCTTATACTGTCTGATGTCTCCCTTACACCACTTTTCTGTTGTTCGTCCCTGCAGGGAGGGGGTTATATGTACATCCTTGTGATCGGCTCCCCGTTTCTCCCCCACCTTCCCCTTCCCCTTCTGGTATCTCTACTTTCATTATTGGTCCTGAGGGATCATCTGTCCTGGATTCCCTGTGTTTCCAGCTCTGGTTTGTACCAGTGTACATGGTCTGGTCTAGCAGGATTTGTAAGGTAGAATGGGGATCATGATAGTGGGTGGGTGGAAGCATTAAAGAACTAGAGGAAAGTTTTATGTTCCATCAGTGCTACACTGCACCCTGACTGCCTCGTCTCCTCCCCGCGACCCTTCCATAAGAGGATGTCCAGTTGCTTACAGATGAGCTTTTTGGGTCCCCACTCTGTACTCCCCCTCATTCACGATATGATTTTTTGTTCTTTGATGCCTGAGACCCGATCCCTTTGACACCTCATGATCACATAGGCTGGTGTGCTTCTTCTACGGGGGCTTTGTTGCTTCTGAGCTAGATGGCCACTTGTTTATCTTCAAGCCTTTAAGACCCAGACGCTATATC